TATCAGAGTCCATACAGATGTTCAAACGGCTACTAGATGCATACTTGATCCAAGGATAAATCTGACTGCCATTCTGGGGTCAAGAAGGAATTTTTTTCCTAGCTTGTTGCAAAATTGTGCTTCAAACTGGGTTTTTTTGCCTTCTTTTGGATCAACAGCAAAAAAACTAATGTGAGGTAGGCTGAACTTGATGGACGCAAGTCTCTTTTCAGCTATCTAACTATCTCACAAACAAACATAGTGCAAGCATTTATAATAAATTAATTAATAAATGTACTTGCACTTCTCAGAACAAACACGGGTCTTTTTCTCATGTGAGAGCTCTTCACCAAGGCTCTGCGCATGGGCTGCGCTGGAAGAGCATTGAACCAACATGCTCACTTTGAGAGGGGGTATGCTTGGCATTTGTGATGACAAAACACACCTGAGGTGTGTTTTGTCATCACCAATGCCAAGCATGCCCCCTCTCAAAGTGAGCATGTTGGTTCTCTGGTGAGACCGGTTGTCTCCTCTCCCTGGACCCCACACTGCTGTTGGGGAGTGAGACCAACTGTCTCCACCCCCAATAACTCGCCCTGCTGCTGGGTAGGAAGGACGATACACTTCTCTCCATGGACTGCACAATGCTGCTGGGGCGGGGATATCCCCCACCATGCCCGTTCGCTTGCCTGTTCTGCTGTGCGCTGCAGATACTCAGACACTATTTTCCTCATGTGCTGTACATATTTCTTAGCTGGGCTGGTTCCTAGTAAACCAACAGCTCCTTCAGCATCTTGTCAAACCCATAGCTGGGTGCTATGTTTGTTCGACTCCCGAACAACTCCCAACTGGTTACCTCCGCTATTACCTTCCTTCAGCCACTCTGGAACCATCAGCACAAGTAAATACCCATTCCCGCAGTAACTGGGGCTGAAGATGTGTGTGTCTTAGTATGTCTGTCATGGTGTCTGTGTGTGTTTTACTATATATGTGTGTGCATCAGTATGTCAGTATGTCATTATGTGTGTTTGTCACCATGTCTGTGTGTGTCTTAGTATGTCATTGTGTGTGTCAGTATGTCTGTCAGGGTGACTGTGTGTGTGTCCGTATGTCTGTGTGTGTCACTGTGTGTGTGTGTGTGTGTGTGTGTGTGTGTTTATCACTATGTCTGTCAGGGTGTCTGTGTGTCACTATGTCTGTGTGTGTGTGTCACTATGTGTGTGTGTGTCAGTATATCTGTCATGGTGTCTTTGTGTGTGTCACTATGTCTCTGTGAGTCAGTATGTCATTCAGGGTGTCTGTGTGTATGTCAGCGTGTCTGTATGTGTGTGTGAGTATGTCTGTGTGCGTGTGTCAGTATGTCTGTGTGCGTGTGTCAGTATGTCTGTCAGTGTGTGTCAGTAAGTATGTTAGTGTCAATGAAAAAAGAGAGGGGGTGTACCAGCGCTAAATATTCCCCAACCAGTGAACTGTGTTCCAAATAACTAAAGTAGCTGCTATCACACCAAATTCTTATCTTACAAGAATAGGAACCCAAAAAAAACTTTGTGGTGTAGCGCTATATTTAAATAGAAGGGTAGTGATAAAAACTAGGTATATATCGATACTACCTTGAAATTCCTTATGTCTTTATATTCACATAAGAGTATAAATTCTACAAGACATAAAAACAGACAGACCAAACATAGTGCAAACTGTATAATAAAGTCCGTTATAGAGAATAAGGAAGGGAAAATTTCCCACTCACAATTTTAGGAGCTAATATGAAATAGCTCAATATCTGCGCTCTTGGGGTCCGTAAAGGCGACCCTCACCCTTCTTGTGTATAGATCTCCTTGGTTTCCTATAGAAGTAGAAACCGTATATGGTGCAGTATCGTAATTATCATCAATGTGAGATAAATATAAAATATAATACTCACAAAATTAGAGCCATCCAGATCGGCTCTAATCCACACACTTGTGTAGTTGAGGACTACACACCTTCTTTGTGAAAAATGAATAAGAAGTAGCAGGGAAATGCCAATATATAGTATAAAATGTAAATAATTTTATTATAACGGTAATTGTATAAAAATATATATATATATATAAAAAACAATAAAAAACAATATCAAATTGGCATAAAATCCAAAAGTCCAAAGTCTCACAGTCTCTCCAGTACGCGTTTCGCCCTACAGGCTTCCTCAGCTGGATGTGGTGATTCAAACTTCCCATGGATTCTCCCTGCTATATGTACCCCTCTCAGGGGTGAGATAATTAGTGTCCAGGCTTGTATTTTCGCGGGCAATCACCATAGAAACGGTGACGCCCTGCGTTTCAAGCCTTTTTTCTATTCATTTCCGGGTTTTCTGTTCCGTTGCGTCACTTCCGGTTTCGCCGATACGTCACTTCCTTGCGTTCCACCATGCGGTTCACTGTGCGTTCCACCATGCGGTTC